GGGTGTTTTTTTTTTGGGGGGTGGGAGGGGACAATGGAGAACAGGGGCGCCTCCACCATGGTCCTCCTGTGTGTTTTTCTGGGGGATGGCGGGCGACGGAAGCGTGCCGGGGTCTTTCGACCTCCACCATGGTCCTCATGCGCGCCCACACGGGTTGTTGGCCATACGACGGATCACAAGAAGCCTTCGGGAAAAAAACAGTCCGTGTACGATCGGCCAGGGGGCGGGCTGTCGTGGATGGCGTGGCGTGTACACGGTGTGCGGCGTTGTCGCACCGCGTTAAGAAGGAGATTCCGGGCCGCAGTCCGTACGGCAGTACTCCATTGTCCACGTCTCTGACGGTGTCGTCTGATCACTGATTTGTCGCCGCAAGCCAGCACTTCCTGCCCTTTGCGCCTCCACTCTCGAGCTTTGTGCACCGCGTGCAGTCCCCCCTCACGCGCCGCAAGCACGTGCTTTTTTTTTCTGTGGCCATCATCGTCGCGGCTCCTGCCCACCACGACTGCGCATCGTCCACGTGCTCCTTCGTCGACGTGGCCGTCGTCGATCTCCAAGCATCGTACTTCCACGTGCTCCTTCGTCGACGCGCTCCTTCGTCCACGTGTTCGTCGTTGCCGAGTTGCGGACGACATGGCCCCGAGGAACGCATCAGCGAAGGCCAAGCAAAATAGCGGGGCGGGCGACGAGGGGAAACCAAGAGAGGCAGAGGGCACATCCCTAAGCCGAAAAGGCACCGCGTTGAAGAGTCGAGCTCCGAGCACACTGCAGACTTCCAGCCAGAAGAAGTGGTGATGGTGGACGCGCAAGGTACTTCAGAGGCGCCGCGATTGGGTTTCGGGCGGGATGGGTTGACGAGGGAACAGTTGTCCGCTGTCAAGCAGAGCATTGTTGTTGGTGCTGCCGGGGCGTCGCAAAGGACCCCGAAGGCGGCAGGGGTTGTCATAACGGAGGTGCGCGTCCCGAGGCAACTTCCCGAGGCGACGGGGCAGGGCCAGCCATGTCAGGTACTTCCACTGCAACAATTGGGGGCTTCAGTGGGGGGGAGAGCACAGCCCGCGCAAAAGGGCGATGCAACGAAGATCGGCACTCGGACGGCGGCGGCGGATCACAGTGGTAGAACCGGAGTCGCCGAAGGTGCGGGCGAGGAGAGGGTAGACGACGTCCGCCACGACGAGGGAAGAAGAGACGGAAAGCGGGAGGACGACGACGACGAGGACCGTCCACTTGTGACGAGGTTGAAGGGAGCCGCAAAGGAGGATGGTATGCAGGAAAGATCGAAGTTGTAGGTTGATTGCGACTCTTTCTGGGGTCACGGACCGGGGAAACCCTTGAGGGAGGCGGTTGGCGAGTGCGCGGACTACTTCATCGCAATCGCCAACGGAGACGCGGGAGCTGAACCGCGTGCGATGCTCATACTGTCGCCGAACGACGTGCCGCGCTTCAAGATCGAGGACCCTGCACAGCGTGAACCGGCTCTGCGCAGAGCGCGCAACGACGAGAAACTGGTGTTGCGCGCCATCCACGGCTGAATCTTCAAATCGTCGTCCCGGTCGACTGGATTCGCTTGTGCAGAGTCGTACATCACTGTCGACATTGCCACAGACGTCGCACGAGCAGTTTGGCAGGGGCAGGAATCGTCGAACGTGGTATCCCCTGCACTCGTGTACCACACTCTGGGGATGAAGATGGACGTGCCTCTGTGGTTCGCGGGGGTGAAGATTGTGGATGGGCCAGGACGACGACATGGCGGCGCGGCAGGAGGCGACAGTTCTTCGCATCGCGGAATGCTGGACAGACGCACTGTGGTGTGGACAATGGGCGGACGGCGGGCGCGTGAAACAGGAGAGGTTGTCTAGGCTTGCGGACTGTCTTCGAGCGTTGTTGAGCATGTGCATGTGGATCATGCGCATAAGTGGTGACGACGACCGTTCGCACTACGAGGCGTGCCTTTACTCGTCCATGGTCGCCAAACCGATAACGATAGCGGCGGGGTCGTACATCTTCAACTAGCGGCGACACATCGTCGACAGCGCGAACCTCGTCTTGGATCGTATAGGGAAGGCTCACCTCACGCTGGGAGAATACCCGCACTGCATTCTGGAATGGTGTGACTGCAGGTTAGTGTTCGGCCACAACGCAGCCCTGAAGAACGCGGCGGAAGCCGCGAAACACGGATGGATTGGAAGCGGGCCTGCGGCGGAGGAAGTGGGAGACGAGGACGGTTGACACGTGGGTGCGTCCGTGGCGCAGCGTCAGGGTGCAGATCGTCGACTAATTGGAGTATTGAAAGACGCAACGACGAACGCAGCGCCTGCGACCGCAGACGGGGCAGCACAGGCGGGATGGGTGCCGGCTGGTGTTGCTTGTTCAACGGGGAAGGGCGGGGGGGAGGGTTGTGGGGGGTTTGGGTTGGTTGGCGGGGGGAGCGTTAGGTGGGTGGTCGTGGCGACTCGAACGGCGTCTGGTCTCGAGTGTCGTCATGTATATGTCAGGTTGCAGTCGTCGTGGTGCATGTGTAGTGAACGATGCATTCGTTTAGTTTGTGTTATTATTAGGTGATTGGAGCGCGCTTGGTACGCTTGCTCCACCGGAGGGTTAATTGGGTCGGCGGACTGCTCCGCCGAAATGTGCGTAGACGGCAGGACCAGTCCGTGTGTAGTGCGGAACGCTTGAAGTGTCGATAGTCAGAGAGAAGGGGGAATTGTCGCCTATGCGATTGATTTTATGTAATACGAACTCAGTGAAATGTGTGTTGCTTTTTCCATGTCTTGTGTTTGCATGCAAAAGATTGCGCACAGAGTCATGTCGTCGTTGTCTTCTGTGTGGTTTTATCACATGACACACGCGTGAATGGTCGTCGCATCGTCGTCCGCATCTTCTTGTGTATGAGCCCGTGTTTTTTCCATTTCACCTATCGCGGCATCGTTGTCATCGCCGTGAACTTAACAAAGAAAAGAAATAAAAGGAAATCAGGCAGGAAACCAAACATGCACTTCCATTGTCATCTTTTTGACGCTTGTCGCCCGTGTTTCCCTTCCTCATGCCATCGTTGGATCCTAACGATCGCACCTACCGTGAAGGAAGGGGGGGAAAATGAAAACAAAAAGTTTGAACTACTACAAAGGAAGGTCACAGCGCGGTTGCATGATGAGCACATCAGTCACGAGTGCATCTTTCTTTTCTTTGTCGATGCATCTCAGTCGTCAATGCAACAACGAAGCTTTTCGGGATTCACAAATGCGATGCACGTCATTCGTCAATGCAAAAAACGAAGTAGAAGAGCTTTTTGGAAAAAAACGGAGACAAGACGAGACGACATGCGCAATACATGTTCCATGCACCAAAAAAAAAAAAAAAAAAAAAAAAAAAA